GGACACCTCTGCACTTTGAGAACAACATTTATATAGATGTCCATTATGGACAGGTAAGCAGCAAGACCAGTGTGTGCACCAGGAACCTCCCTAGCAAGGCTCCCTAGCAGGGACAGCATTAGTGACCAGGCCCTTGGGAATATCCCAAGAGGGCTGAAGAAGCAGGAGGGCTTTGGCTGATGGGCTGTGTATGCTGTTTCTGGGAATGACCATTAACTGAAGCTCTGGATGCCAGGAAGGCAATGTGCCTGTAGCCCTAGCCTATGAGCTGTCCTGTTCCAGACAAGGATTGTGCAGTTCTGCATGCTCTTCCTGAGCTCAGAAAGCCTTCTCTTGTGTGTTACCAGCCTGAGCTGGATGTGCTGCCAGCAAGGCAGGATGTGTGTCTCTGCAGCCTGGCACTGCCCAGACCTGCCTATACCTTCTGGCAGGTTTAACAGAGGCCTCTCTTCTGTGCTGTCTCTCAGATGCAGTGGGATTACCTGAATGGGAGGATGCTTTTGAGCTGTAGTAAAGAAATGGAGATGCAAGTGGGCATTTTGGCAATGCTCCAGCACTGGGCCAAACCAGAGCAGCAGAACTCTGCTCTCTCCAGGTATGTGTGTTGCAGGGTGGGTCTTTATCTCTAGTGGCTGTTGGCATAACAGGGGTTAGGAGTGGGTGCCTGAAAGTATTCTCTGGATAATGAAGGAATGGACAGTTCTGGAGAATATAAGCTACTAATTAATGTCACTTTAGTGACTGACTCCTGCTGTTAGTCAGGGAAGTTTACCTCCTGCTCCCACTCTTAATGCTGACTGTCTCTTATGCACGTTTCTTTTTGTGGCTGCTCCTGAGCTGAGGGTCATGAGGGTTCCATGGACATTTCTTTTGATTGCCATGTGTTTGTAATACCAAGGAGGCAGTGCATGAGCTTATAATTGGGATGAATGCTCCTTTGTTGTTTCTCACAAGTGCCAGAGTTACCAACCTAGGGCACCTGAAATCTGCAGTGAGCTGCCTAATGGGAAGGAAAATGTCCCTGGGCACTGGAAAGTGTTTGTCCTACAGTCCTGAGCTGTGTTTTCACAGTCCTTCCTTCCTGTACCCTTAAGCACTTTGACTCAAAGTCAAGGTAATGTCTACACCAGATCCCCTTAGAGCACCAGCAGCAGGAGGTAATGGCATAACCCTGCTGGGCGTGGGGAACTCTGCTTTCTGTAGTGCTTTGGATGCGCAGGAGCGAGACAGGGCTTGAGTAAGGTGGTGTTCAGCTGAGATTGCCTAAGAAACACCCGTAGTGTTATTCTATGCTGCAGTCCTTGCTTGGAGAACTCCTGTTGATTCCAGAAAGGAAGGACCTGTTTCTTAGTGCACTAGTCAGTGGTGCATAGCTGTCTGCTCTGTGGGAAGCGCTGGTCTCACTCTCTCTGATGTTTCCTTACATGTTATCCAATGCAGATACAACCTGTTCTGCTCCTTCCCTCTCCCTCCACCCATGCCCCCAGCCATGCAATTGAAAATTGTTGCCACATCCCTTCCCTCTCCTTAATCCCCCTGGTGATCCTTCAATTTTAGCTGGGCAGGGGGTGAATTAGCATCTGCTTGCTGGCACAGGGAAGAGCTGAAGGAGTACACACCAAAGACCCTGCAGTCCTACATCAGTCCGGAGGTTCTGCAAAACCAAGTTGACATGCTGCTGAGAAGCAGGCAGCCCCTCCCGCCAGTGGATGCAAAAATCCAGTTCATAGGTGAGGAGATAACCAGACCTGTTCGAGATCTTGATGTAAGCTGCTCTGAATACACTTTTGGGACAGCTCATGAGGTTGGCAAGGATCTTTGAAGCCTGGAATGGACTGTGACAGCTTCCCCTGCAGATGAGCACTTGTTCCCAAGCATGGTGATCACAGTTAGAGGTTCCACTTCTTGTACATATGTCCGCAATAGATTTTAGAGCTCTGTACAAATTGTGTTTTAATTAATATTTTGGTTGCATATCTGTTTTCTGATAGGGAAAGAACAGGGCACCACTGCAGGCTGTTGAGAATTTTATTGAGTATCAGCAGCTGAGGGGAAGGGAGGGAGAAGTTGTCAACCTCACTTTTTAATGCAGAAATGCTTGGGAACACTTGCAGCTTTTGACCACCTTAGTTAGTGCAGTAGATTGCTGCCTGGAAGCTGCTGCCTGAAAGCCACTTATTTCTTTCTTACAGAACATGTGATGAAATTGCCTTTCTTTGGGTACACCATCTACTTTGTCGAGAGAGTCAGCGATGACACAATCTCTGTGCCGTGTTTCTTTGGCGTGAATAAAGAGGAGATCATTGTGGTAGACAAGACCAGCCAGGTATGCTAGACAATTCCTCCACAGAGTCCAGACCCCTGATGTCTGTCAGATGTTAACTTTGACTTTTAGAAGAACTTGTGCAGGGAGAGACTGTATCTACCTGTATCACAGCCACACTAACAGCCCTAGCCCAAAATGAGTAATGAGTGGTGGAACAATTACTAATGCCACGTACTTACTTTTGTAAGTACAGTGATCATAGAATCACAGACTGGTTTGTATTGGAAGAGATCTTAAAGCTCATCCAGTTCCAACCCCTGCCACGGGCAGGGACCCCTTCCACTGGAGCAGCTTGCTCCAAGCCCCTGTGTCCAACCTGGCCTTGAACACTGGCAGGGATGGGGCAGCCACAGCTTCTCTGGGCACCCTGTGCCAGCGCCTCAGCACCCTCACAGGGAAGAGCTTCTGCCTAAGAGCTCATCTCAGTCTCCCCTCTGGCAGGTTAAAGCCATTCCCCTTGGCCTGTCCCTGCAGGCCCTAGTCCAAAGCCCCTCTCTAGGTTTCTTGTAGCCTCTTTAGGCACTGGGAGCTCCCCTATGGTCTCCCCTTCAGGAGCCTTCTCTTCTCCAGCCTGAACCAGCCCAGCTCTCTCAGCCTGGCTCCAGAGCAGAGCTGCTCCAGCCCTCGGAACACGTTTGAGGCCTCCTTATGCTGGGGGCCCAGAGCATGATTCACAGTAAAACCAAGTGTAGGTCCCATTCCTGCTTGTCCCAGTCTTGCAGCACTGCCTCTGCTCCAGTCCTTGTTTCATCTTCCAATAGGCTCTTGAGGTGAATCCTCCTTAGGGATAATCAGACGGTTTTATTTGTAAGGACTGTACCCGAGGGTGGGCTGTGGCTTTTCTTCACACCCAGGCAGTCTCCTGCATCATTCCACTGAAAGAGCTGCAGAAGATGCGAACTCTGCGGCCTCTCTCTGATGGTGGGCTTCCTGGCTTAGAACTGAACTATGGCTCGGCTGCTAGCCCCAAGACTATGTGGCTTGAACTGTCACAGGTGAGATCACCCTGGACCCCACAGCAACTCAGAAATAGCCCTCCACTGTCCAGCTAAGCCTCTTCTGTCCCAGAGTTGGAAGGGGCACTGCATTTCCCAAGCCCCAAAGTGCAGCTTTGCCCCAACATGTACCTGATGTTTACTTACAGAAAGTGATTTATGGGAATACTTAATCATGAGAAGCAGACACTTCTGGGTCAAAGAATGACTGATACTGATTTGTGTTTTGACAGGCTAAAGAAATGTATCACACAATTGTTGTCATCCTGGATAAAACAGAGTTGCATCACTAGAGCCTAAGAGGAGAACGATTAAGGACAACAGCACTGTTTTCTGTTCTTTGAGCTTGTTCAATGTTTCCTGCCCTGTCATCTGGAGGGGACTCTTCCAAAAGACATCCGCAACCTCAGACAGCTGCTTCCTAAGACTGCTACCACCATGTTTGCTCATGGACTGGAACATAACCTCACCCCTCCTGACCTGCCATTCAGTCCCCAAGTCCTCTCCCTTGAAGTAATGCGTGTGGTGGCTACCTAGACCACAAAGACACCCTTTCCACACCATTGCTCTTCCATAGCCTGTTTCAATGTGAGCAGATACAAGTAATTGCCTGGAAGAGTGTGGAACTCCTCTTTTTTCCCAATTAATTAACATGAGCAAAACCTGATCTTTGCTATAGATTTATGTAGCCTAATGGACAGCTGAGCCTATGACATGACTGCACTGGCATTTTCCATAGGCCAGCTTGTTCTTTGTATTGATATGCAAGAGGCCCTAGAGCAGGGTTTGTGAAGCAGGAGCTTGTAGAAAGCATCATAATTGCAAACCATGTCACTGTTAATATACAATTAACACATGCTGCAGCACAGATAGAGATGTGATGGTAAGACAGTTTATTCTTGATTAATTTCTTATTGACAATTATATTCATGTTTCCCTCTGCTATGAAGAAGTGTCACGTCCATGCAGCTGTCATACTGAAATGATAGGGCCATGCCCATAGAGAAAGCATTTTCAAATGGAACTTTTACTCCAGCAGAGGAGCGTGTCCTGGGTTGTACACAAATGCTTAATTTATTTTTATTGCTACAGCTATCCTACTGCACTGCAGAATAGTGAACTTCAGGAGACTGCAATAAAATGATCACATGGAGATGTTTCGAAGCTCTGACATGCCAGACACAGGTTTATGTCTACCATGGGAAGAGTGACCTGTGGGTAACTGTCAAAGCTTGAGGAAAAAGTGGTTACTTGGCTGAGACAGGGATAGATGTTGGGGCTCTCCATGCAAGCCATGATGCACAGCTAGGGCTTCTTGCTGGTGAGCTGATGTCAGCCTCTTTCCTGTCAGGAACTTCCCTTCATGTCCTGCTCACTGTGGCGTCTTCCACCCTCCCCATTCAGCAGGTAATGTACCACAGTGACATGAAAGGAAAGAGTAGAGAAGACAGAGAGCCAAACATTAAATTAGCCTTATTCCTCTTCTCTTTCCCTGAGCTTTTGCTGCCTTACATAGAAGCACAACTTATCTGGTTAGAAATGCCTGTCATTGTGATAAAGAACTTGGTCATACAACTCCATGCCTCATTTAAAAGACAAAGCATTTCTGACAAGTTCACCCAGGCAGCAACTGAACTTCATAAGCACTGAACTGTGGAGATACAGGAACCCCACTCAAATTCGCTGACAAAACAGGATTTTTCATGGGAAGGTAAACCAGAAACTAGCAGGCAACAGCTAAAAAACACTTGTATTGTGTAAAAGGCTTCTTGTAAAGCCCTTTGGCCTCCACTGACAAGGGCAAGCTGAAGATGAAAGTGACTTTGAGTTAAACATTTCCAGGTTCTCCACTTGCTCCTAGCTGGAGAAGTCCTGCAGCAGTAAAGGGGTGGAGGTATCTGTGGGCACGCGCTTCCCATCCAGCCCCTCCCAGGCTTGCATTTATTAGCTGTCTGTTCAGATATGAAATGAGCTTTCATGTCTATGTTCACAGCGATGACGTCCTAATGTATCTGAGACCAGTCCATATGAATGAGTGGTAACAAAAAGCTTCCAGGAAGAGTCCACAACAGCTCTAACACTGGTTTATTGTCAGTTCCACATGTAGCCTTCAGTACATTAAAAAAAAATACACCCATTGAGTACAGTGATCTAAAAGGCATTTGATGGCCTCTGAGGCTGCAGATTCCTCCAGCAGCACTAGTGCCTGAGGCCACCAACCTCTATGAGAATGGAACAAAAGCAGAACCCAGTAACAACTGAACAGAAAGAACCTGTGCCAGGGAATTGGGTTATTTCAAGCCCACTGATGCCCTAAAGTTCAGATTCTTATATAAATATAGCAGCAGACACACCATAGTGTCAATTTGAGGGCCACAGTGGTACCTTAACCAGTTGTAACAGCACCACTGCCTTCGGTATTGCAGACTGCAGGTGAGGCACAGGTAGCAAATATGGCTTTAGGGGTTACAAGCAAACGCTGGAAAAGTGTTGGCAACCTTGGTGCTACTATTGGAGAGGTTAATACTGAAAAAGCATCACCGCTTAATATTAAAGGGCAGGAAGAACTAGACAAAGTCAAAAAAGAGAAGTTCAGATTAAAAGAAAAAAGAAATTGAGTTTCTCCACCTTCAGCAAGTATACATTGCCTGTATGGGAGAAACAAAATGCTCCTCTCCTGTCCATCCAAGAACTCAATCATCAACTTTATCATTGGCAGCCCTGAGCAAAGCATGTGAATTTCTAGTATAAGGCTTCTACTGGCAACATTGGAATAAGAACTAAGGGATGGGGGAGCAGGAGAGGACCTATCTAGGAAGCAAGATGCCATCCGAAAGCAGAGTGCCTGTTGGAAAGTCTGAGCAAACTGCTGCATAGAGGTTGGAGACACTGCAGAACATCTGGGGTGGTTGCCCCTAACCTACACAACAGATGAGTAGCTCACACCTCTTAGCAAGGTGTGAGCACTGGGCTTCAGCACCCCACTTACTGGAGAAACTCTCCATACGTCCACAGAAACTGGTTTCCTGGAACTGTGTGTCACTAAGATCAGAAGTGAGCAAAAATGCTGTTGGAAAAGCAAGCTCAGTTCTGCAAGTCCATGAAACCCTCCATGGGTGAGTTCTTCAAGCTCCCCTGGTCGCACCACTGGAGGAGGGCAGCCAACGTGATCTGAGAGTCAGCTCCCGGAGCTCTGCAGCTCCTGCCAGTCTGTCTCACTCTCACACCTGACCCTTGTTTTGAAAAACTCCTTGATGAGTCTCTGTGCTTCCTCCTTCACTGCAAGAGAGGAAGCACCACCTTTAAGAAGATACTCAAGACATCTGCCCCTCTAAAGACTCTCATCCATTTAGCATCAGAAGAGCCCAATATTCTTGGTGCTCTCCCCAGCTGCCAACTCACCAGTCTTGCGGGCTGGGTTCTGCTCTTCGGTCAGTAAGTGAGACAGGTGCCGAGCAAAGCCTTTGAACAGATCCTGCAGAATTGGGGCATAGCAGAAAGAAGACATCACAGTTACCTCATCAGACAGTTTCCTTTTGTCTTGCTGGCTGTTAGCAGAAACCACTCAGAGATTACGACTACAGGAGTGCTGCAAACACACCTGACCCTGCAGTGCTGAAGAAGCACATGGACTCACATGCTGCCTCCCCTAACACATCAAATAAACTACACCAGAACCGACTTTGATCTCTTGCCCCTTCACAGCTCGGAGCTCTTGAAAACAGGCCAGAGTTTAGAGTGAAAACATAAACAATCAAAACCAGGTGTGGAACCACCATGATACCACTCTAAATCCCACACAAACCCTTTCTTGGGGTGAGTTGCTGCATTCATGGAAACACATGCCAACATGTGATTTGGAAACGAAATGTGGTGTTTAGATCATCTTTCCCTTCCTAGAGCCCCAGATCACTAGGGAGATGCAGCCTCCTTCTGCTAAAGAGGGTCTTGAGCTGTGCCCTACCTTGGAAGCAAATTTGCCATCCTTGTAGAATGGGGTCAAATATTTGACAACGATGTCTGCTGTCTCTTTGAGGGACATAGCCTTGGTCACTGCCTGTATGGTCCTGCTGGTTCCTTCTTTATCACACTGCAATAAGTTTGGATCAAAAGTCACCTTCTTCTTTGTTAGACCGACACTTCTGCTTTCTGGCTGGGACAGAATTGAAGATTTTGCAGCTGTCCGTAGCAGCTTTGTTGCAGGAATTTCTATATCCTGGAGATGGGACAGAAGAAAACCAAACCCATTAATTCCTGTGGCAGCATTACATTTCCAAGCAGCCACTACCTGCCAAGAACAGCAGCATCCTGCAGCCTCTTCCTACAGTGATTACCATGCAGGTATCTCTGTAACCCATTTTGCTGCCCAGACATGATACACTATTTCTCACACAAAGGGACTTTGAGAAAAGGTCTTAGAACTACCCTGTGCTCTTATTACGGAGCTCACTGCTAGACCTGTCCTACATGGGAAAAATGGACAGGAAACAAATTCCCAGGATGTCTGCTGAAAATACACCCTGTGGGAAGAGCCAGCCACTTCAGGAGTGCCACACTCCTGTTCAGTCTGAGGCATTCTCAGATGCCAAATGCAGAACCAGAGACTGAATGCAAGGAAGGCTGTGAGCGTGGTTCACTTCTGAGTGGTCCTATGTGTCACTGGCATGGGGTTCCCTTGATTTGACAAAGCAGCTTGCTAGAGCACCTCTGCTATGGACACAGGCTGACAGCTGGGCTTGTTCAGCCTGGAGAAGAGAAGGCTCCTTAAGGGGAGACCTTAAAGCAGCTGCAGTGCCTAAAGGGGAAAACTGGAGAGGGGCTTTGGAAAGGGCCTGTAGGGACAGACCAAGGGGAATGGCTTTAACCTGCCAGAGGGGAGACTGAGATGAGCTCTTAGGCAGCAGCTGTTCCCTGTGAGGGTGCTGAGGCGCTGGCACAGGGTACCCAGAGAAGCTGTGGCTGCCCCATCCCTGCCAGTGTTCAAGGGCAGGTTGGACACAGGGGCTTGGAGCAAGCTGCTCTAGTGGAAGGTGTCCCTGCCCATGGCAGGGGTTGGAGCTGGAGGAGCTTTAAGGTCCCTTCCAACACAAACCAGTCTTGGAGACTGTGATTCTATGACTCCCAGAGAGAAACTTGGCACAAGGTAGGTAGAAAAAATTAAAAGAAATTAGCACCCATTAAAGTCTTACCTCATCTGATCCTGGTCGCTTCCTACTCCCACTTTCCTCAGCAAAAGTTAGCTCAGTTTCTGTGACATTTTCATCAGCACTAGTGGAAAGAGTGGAGAGAAGGACAATTTTAATCATTCCACAGTGAACATATGACTGCATTTGCTGTTGGTGGCCACGAGACTCTCCATGGTAAAGCATGAGTCTTCCTCACCAGCCTCAAGATCTACAGACAGCACAGGGCTGGTAGGACTCTGCAGCTTATTAACAGGGCAACAATAAGGAGCATAGAAGTAGAGATGTTACCTGGGTTTCACATCAGTTTCTTCCTGAAGGATCTCAGATTCATCAGCCTGAGGGGTCTTGAAATCCTGTTCTCTCTCAGTCAGTGCTACTTGTGCCTCTTCCAGTTCTTCACTCTCTGCCTGGGGTTGTCCAATCACATCTTCTCCTTTGTTTTCCTGAGGTGTTGGTTTCTCTTGACACACGGTTTGAGAAGAAACCTGAGGTAGTGTGCTTGCAGAACAGCCACCTTCCTTTGCTGAGCTGCAGCTTTTGGCTTTAAACCCACCTTTGTGGAGGGAGAAGAATTTGGAAATATCCTGTGATTCTTTTTTAGCTGCTTCTGTGAGCATTTGCTGCTTTTTGCTACGTTTGGACTTCTTATTAGGGCCCCTCAAAAGGGCAGCTTTTGTGTCTGGATTGGGTTGCTGCTCCTTCTTTTCAGGATGGAGTACTTCCACACCAGCACTCTCACACATTGCTATTTCTTTCTTCTGGAGAACAGGGCTCCTGGTGTCCAGCTCCAGACTGCAGTTACTGTTGTCTTGTCCATTTGGACAGTCTGCTTCTTTTTTGTCAGGCTTTGCATCACTCTTCTCCTGGATCTTCAGCAGTTCAGAAGCTGTCTGGAACAAACTGGATCTCCTTGGAAATCCTGCTCCCACACGCTTGGGTTTGAACTAGGGAGAAAGGAGGAAGAAATTCTGGACGTGAGAGCATTAAGGAAGCCCTGTGTGCAAAACCCTTTAGGAGCTAAGTTTCTGTACACAACGCACCAGTGTTACAGCCATAAGCTGAGGAAGGCTCTAAAAAACGAGTCATCATCTTAACCATTCCCTGAGACATCTGGGACATGGATTAGGTTAAAGTCTTAGGCCCTAAGTCATTCCCACAGTAAGGAAACAGCATCCTTGTTTAGAGCAAGATGAGAAAAACTTCTTTTACAAATGACCTGGACATAAATTCTATTCACTAATAGGAACCAGCATGACTCATTGATCTCACTCCAAAACCAAAGGACAGAGAGGGAAAGTAATTGCAATAGAAATACACAGCTATGGCTGTGATAGACAAAGATCCCATTCTCTCCTTGTCTGTTCATATGTACTCACTCACTGAGTAAACCTGGGATGCAGGGAGGAAGTCCTCTTCTGCTGCAGACTCAGATTTTGTTTCCAAGTTGCTCTTGCTACCAGTTGCAGACCCAAAGACTGAGAACAACTCTCCTTGTTTTGAGGCTTTGTTGATTTCTGCTACCTGAAAACAGAAATATCCTCTAGTGGCCAGAAATATTAACGTGTTCCTGCCTTTGTACACACTAAAAGCCACGGTGACAAAATAAATGTCTCCTCTGGAGAGACACCTATCTCAAGAACAGAAATGTCTTCAACGAGACTTATGGTAACCAGCTGACCTAACCCAAGGTTCCCCTACTATCAGCTACAGCCTGAAGAACTCCCCATTCTCCTTATTCCTAGCCCTAGAAGATATCTGGGTAAACTTGCACTGGTATATAGGTTTCCAGAGCCTGTGAAACCAACAAAGGTGTAAAACCAACATGATTCTGGGCCCTCCTGGAAACAAAATAAAGAAAGATTTGGAAGACATCCAAGGCAAAGCAAAGCTTCTCCTTCATCATTCCCCTACAAGCTCTATCCAATATCCCCTCGAGCAGAGGCCACGCCACATTCAAAGAACAACTGCAGATGATGGGCACTACCTTCTTTAGCACAGTTGCCTTGTATGAGTTCGCCATTTTACTGGTTCGGAAAGCTTCATACTCCAGCTCCACGGCACAGGCGTGAGGGTCTGACCTGTAACACAGGCTAGGGTGATTTCTGGCAAGACACACTTCTAGATTTGCAAAGGGAACACTTATGGTTAAGCACCTCCCAGGCATCACAAAACAGACTCTCTCTGGTGCAAGAACAAGTGATAACTTCCAAGTAAATCCTAAGGAATGGGGCAGTGAATTGCTGGAGAATGGAAAGAGTGTTGAAATCACTTTTAAATCTAAGTCTTCTTGTCCAGTTGCTCAGTTTGAGAAGTACATTAACCCCATCTTGTGGGACAGGGAAGAACTGCGACTTCTAGGATCAAGCTGATCGAGCGGAATGAGACACAGGAATCCTCGTAGCTGTTAAGTGAATCTACATTCTTGGAACGAACAATTTAAATGACATTCCCTGAGAATGGTAATGCTGCTGAGGGAAGATTAGGCCCTGTATTAAGGGATTCAACATGCTACCCCTTTTCTTTTGTCTCATACCCTTCTCCTGCTGCTGCTAGAACCTTTTGATTGGTGCTCAAAGCTTCTTCCAGCATCTTCAAGCAGTGCTCCCGTCCCTAGGAAACACAGGATACTGAGTCATGCTCTACATAGTGTCCCTTGGACTTCCATCCCTGAAGGAGTAAGAAGAGGGCAGGCAGAATCTTTCTTGTTCTTTGCAAGTCAACAGGACTGAATGCGAACCAGCCTTTCTTACCTTCACTGTGAGCTTAGAGATTCTCCTGCTGATGGCATCCTTCAAGGGACAGTCTGCACCTATCACAGAAGAGATATTTGTCACAGCAGGGCTGGGGCTGGTGGAGAACATCTCAGCTGTCACTGAGGGGTACCTGTCTAGCACTGCTCCACATGCTCCTCCCTGCACAGGTACCCCAAGGATGACTGCAGTCACCTTTGTTACCTGAAGGAGCTACAAACTCCAAAAGAGTAGGCAGAAGCCACAGTAAGATTTTCCTCTCTGGATGAGAATGTCTCTCTTGCTAGTTTATGACTAACAGTTTTCCAAACCTTCCCCATCTCAGGAAACCCTTTCTCAAGAAATCACAGCTCTCAGGAAACTCAACCCTTTTCCACTCCCCACAATAACAACAACAACAACAAAGAGGCTGAACAGAGTAACATGAACTACCATGTAACATGTCCATGTTACTAGACAGGGCTTCATGTAGCACAGTTACAAAGGGATCAGGTTTTCAGCAGTTTCCTTACAGCCCAGTTGGATGCTGCTGCATAACCCATGCAGAAACAGCCTACAAAGTCAGTTTACACAGAGTTTTCCTGCTCTCTTGCTTATTTTGAAAAGTTGTTCAGAAAGATGCATTCCATATCTTCACCCCAACCAAAGCTAAGCTCTGATCCATCTCCTCCAGCCAAGCTTCCACAGCCAAATGTCCAGCCTCTGTGCCTAGGGACTGATATCTCCAGTGTTGACGCTGTATGGATTACATGCAGCTGCAAAATACAAGACTTTCCTCTCCCAAAGAAAACCCATGATAAATCAAGGAAGATACTTACTTGGAGGAACAAAATCTTCCTTTTCTGGTTCTTTGCCCTGGAAGAAAACAAAGATCAGTCAAACATTTCCATTCCTGCAATACACATGGAGGTCTAGAAGCAGCTACAGGGAAAACTAATGCTGAAGTTACAAAGGTACTGAAAAGGCACCAAAATGGGGGAAAGAAGACAATGAGAATGAAAGCCAAAAAGCTCACGTTTGCTATAGGAAAGAGCTGTGCAAGAGAAGCTGAGTGGGAAAATCTAATATTAGAGGAATTAAAGACAACAGGACCCTCTTGATTAGCACTGCAGAGAAAACCAGTACATGAATAAGCTGTGTTTCTTCATGTTATAGGACTGGCCAGAACATGGAGAACACAGCAAAAGCACAGGTACTAGAAGTAAAAAACAAAAAGCAACAGCAACATGCAATAATTTAGTTTCATTAGTGCCAGGAAGCCTTTATGTCTGTAAGACAAGCTCACAGCAAACACTCCAGAAATCTCTTACAAGGGGACCCGAACTCACTCTGCGCAGACTCATCTGCTTTCTGTAGAAGCTGTTCCACTCCCGTTTCCGACTCTCTTCATTGGCTTCATCCGCATTCCCACTGCTTTCTTCATCATATCTAGATAAGGCAGGAAAAGAAGAGGAACAGACATTTCTGTAGGTGCAGTATTAACTAGGGGACAGGCCTACAAAAGCCAAGGTCACTTTTTACAGTATTTACAAAAGATGATTACAAAAGTCTTAGCTTTTAGTTTCACTAACACCCCTCAAGCTGGACAGCAGTGAGCATCCTCCAAAAATTCATGGGACTTGTTAATCCTGTGAACTAGTAAGCAGAAGCATGAACTAGCAGCATATGACTAGTGTTCTGAGAATGGAGGGTTCCATCCATTTCAGAAGCTCTGCCAGATTCTCCCATGGGGAGAATGCCCAAGGTCACTGCCTTGTGGCACTTACTCCAGCCGTCAGTCACTACTGCCCCTGGAGCAGAAATGGCAAAGCAGCCTCAGCTGTTCACAAACTGTTATGGAATCACACAATGGTTTGGGTTGAAGGGACCTTAAAACTCATCCAGTTCTAACCCCTGCCATGGGCAGGGACACCTTCCACTAGAGCAGCTTGCTCCAAGCCCCATCCAACCTGGCCTTGAACACTGCCAGGGATGGGGCAGCCACAGTTTCTCTGGGCACCCTGTGCCAGTAATTAAATGTTGTGGTATTGTTGTATCAAATGAAATCCCATCACTGATATACAGAAATGCAGCTGGTGAGTCTCACCAGATGTAGCCCAAGTATTTACTGCTTTCCACAGCTGTCACAGCCAAAACTGACAGGTATTACAAATCAGAGCTTGAAGACTATTGACTATTACAACTTCCAAGGCAGAGCTACAATCAAGTTATGGAGAGGTTCAATAAGTCAAGTGGCAGAGAGCTCTACAACAGCATTGGCCATGTCTTCTCAGGTCCTGAGATCAAACTTAGGTCACAAGGACACCAGTTCCCTCTGACTCAGCTGGACTTGCCTGAAGACCAAAGCTCCCAGGCTCAAGCTGTAAAAGGTAAAGCAGGGGCCAGGCCAGTCAGCAGAGATGCACATCCAGCAGAGCTCCCCAGGCAGTGCAGGCAGCCAAGGTCGAATCCTGACAGAGCTGCACCTTTGCTGCAACTCAGCCAAAGAACAAGGAGGAAGAGAAGTTGCCATCTCCACGCTGCCAAGTGTTTTACAGAATTTATCATGTTTCCCACTGTACATCTTCCTTTTCCTGTCAGCCTGATACTGAAACACTAAAATTTAGCAGCTGACACTGGCACTCCATTATATGCTCTGTGGTGACCAAGTCCTGTCAGTGTCCCCTAGCTTGCTGGCCCACAGACAGAAATGAAGTCTGGACCATGTCATACTTTGCTGTCACATTGGTCTCAATTCAAACAGTTTTGGTCCTTTGTGACTGTGAACAGGCTGAGCTCACTTACTGCTTTCCAAAAATGTCAGGCTAGTTTCTTGAACAAATTACATTCTGCAGGGTACTTCTTAGGTCAGTCAGAACAGCTTTTGGCTCTCTGGGACATGAATGTGCTTCAGGCTGCCAAAGTGTGTGCAAAATTAAATTCCAGCTCCTGCTGCCAGGAAGTTAGAGGAAAATACCAACACACAGAAACATGTGCTGAAAATAGGAATGGCTGGACCTGCAGCTGGGAGAGAATCTCTGCCCTCCCAGCAGATAGCTCCTATGAGCTGAGTTTGAAGCAGCCAAGTACAGACCTGCTAAAACCTCTGCAACCTCTTCTTCCGCCTTCATACAGTTCTGGGTCATAGCCCTCCCAAGAGGAGCTCGTGGGCCCAATGCAGGTTCTGCTCCAGCTGTTGCTGCACCGCTCCAGTGACTCCCATTGTCTTTTCACTGCTGCTGGGTTCTTGCAGTAGTCACAGCACTTGTTACAAGGAGGGGTGACATCCCCAAAGTACTTTGCTATGGCAGCATGGCGACATCTGGGAAACAAAAGGGAAAATGAGCTGTCAATTATTTTTATTGACAAGAACTCCACCCTCCAAATACAAGGTGTCTTTTGATAAAGACTTGAGGTTTGTCTGGTTTGGTTTGGGTTTTTTTTTGCAGAGAATGCCTGTTCCAGCAGGAATCACAGGGATTAAGTTCTGGAGCAGAATTGGGGTTCTCTTCCTGGCAAGTTGCTTAAGGTCTCTCTGCCTCCACTTCCCCACATGTAGAACAAACAGAGCTGTCAATCTCTTCTGCTAAATGATTTCAGATCTTTGAGATCTGCAAAAGGCATGATAAAATATGCAGTTATTAATTCTGCATTGTTGGCCACATATATTCCATGTCCAGTGGTGCTAGGATAAACGTGTAAAGGAGCCCTGTTGATCCTTACACCTCAGAGTTGAGAGGATGTCTATGTATTTCCACATTGGAGAGCTTCTAATTTTATTGCTTCTGGTTTGAAGTTGAACAAATCTACATTTGAAGAAACAGGAACGTAAATTAAGTCACAGAAAGAGAGTCCAGACTGAGCTGCCAAGGAAGCACTGTTCAGATAACACAGCCTGGGTCTCAACCCACTAACACACGCCTCAGAGCTGCAGCCTCTGGGGTTGAGCCCTGCAGGGCTGGAACCCTGCATCCAGGAAAACCAGTCCATTTGCTCAGGCAGTATTGCACAACCAGCTCGACCAGCCTTAGCAAAGTAGCCATGTGAAGATGATTACATTCTTCCAGGAATCTTCAAAAGATTTCTGGCAGCCATCGGTGCTTTTGGGTATGTAAAAAAGAGTTTAGTGACAGAGATATGCTCATTAGAATACAGGCAGAAAGTCATTTCTCCTCTAATACAATCCCTGACTTAAACCAGTGAAGACACTGATTTCACGATGTGAAGAACCACCCAGCACTTACTTGCTTTTCTTGTTTTAAGAAAGTGGGCAGAATTTAGAGGCGCTTTTTAAAACTTGGGTTTCATAGCAGAAGTGGCAGTTGTCTATTAAAATGCTGGTATTAGATACACAGAAACACTTCATAAGGCATTTAGAGATCAAGCCCTGCAGCCAAGCAGCAGCAACAGGTATTTTAGAAGAGAATTTTTTTTACTTCAGGGAAGAACAAAACGGAGATTTTTCTCCTTCCCAAGGAGTGCCCTAGCTGGATTACCAAATTCATCTGCAAAAAGTGGGTCACACAGGGGAAAAGTAAGAGTAAGCACTTCATTTATTCTTATTATAAACCCTTTAAGGCATGTCTGAACACACCAGAGGTCTAACAAATGCAGTTTGTTTCTTAACTTGTGTGCATGTGTGTGTCTGGGGGCAGCACAACTGTAGTTCTCCCAGAGCCTCACAGAACAACCCTGCCAGGGCCTGCAGCTCGCATCCGCATGGGCCTGGAGGATCACTCACCAGCCCAGAGGAGGTGAAGCAGCAAAGCAGCAGGTCACAGACTGCTGCCGCCAGGCTGGAGTGTGCAGGGCCTGGCACTGCTCAGGTAAGGAGGGCTGCAGCAGCGTGGCATGGTCTGGGGCACTGAATGCCTGGACAAAGCTGGCTTTATGTCCCCATGCGGAGCTGTGCTGACTCGCTCTCGCCTGGCACTCAAAGAGCTCCTTTCACATGGTGGGGAGGGGTGGGGGGACCGGGATGGGGACAACACATTTGATGCCCTTGTTCTGTCTTTCCAAAAGAGCTACTGGTGCTGCCTGTCCTGCCAGTGCAACGTGACTATAGAAATATCAGCAAGCTGCAAGACAGCTTTTTGTTTCCCCCAAAGAAACCAGGCAAGCATTCTCATTAGACCGCATCTCTCACATGCACTGATCTGTATTAGAAATAACTGAGGCATACAGCAATGGTCAAGCACTCTCCTCACCCCTGCAGCCTCTTCACCAGTCTGGGGAGGGACATCCACACACTCCCCCCTCCTTAATGCAAACAAAAGACGCCCCAAGCAAGGCTTTCATGGGAGCACAGATCAGCCCTGAAGTCACTGGAATTCAGACCTCCAGTTTCTAACCCATCAGGCTTGTAAAGCCAAGCCCTTTCCATCCCACCTCCTGTAACTGCCTGTATCTTCCTGCAGAATTACCCAAACTGTGGCCACGGCCCCGTTGAGCCAGCAGTGCTCCTGAGTTGGGTCATAACGGAAATTCAGTTGCAGAACTAAGATTGCAGTCCTGTAATAGAATTCAAAAGGCCAAAACCAGAGTTACTAACAGCGATGCTGAGGGTAATCACTAGATTAATCTTTAACACCTGAAACATAGTTGGTTATGCATTAACATGTGGTGGGAGAACTTCCTGAGCACCTGACTAATGCCCAAGACTTGGAGAGATTATTTACATAAATTAATAGTAGGTTTTATTATTATACATGTCCCAAAATTATTTCACCTTTTAAATATGCAACTGTATTATTTGCCTACCCCACCCTTCAACAGGAGTATGCATAAGCTGACCACTGGTCTTTAAAATGTTCAAAGTTATCATGTCATTTGGGACATCCTACCCTGATTTGACCTCATGGGATAGGATAAAGAGCAAGTAACAACTGAGTTCCCTAACATGTTTTTGCCTTCTTGCAATTAGTAGAAGCAGATGCACAGTCAGAGAAGATGCAAAGTCACATACCCCAAAAGCAGCTTTGCCTCTCCCAAAATATATCAGAAGAAAGCATTCCTTAATATAAGCCAGAGAAGGGTACACAGCTCATCAGAACTTCCCCCCAAAAAAACCAACCAGAAAGTCTTAGAATTAAGCCAAGAAATGAAAGCATTAAAACCGACAAAAATCATGCGAGTACAAGTAAGTCACATAGATGCCAGTAGCTGAACAAAAGCCATTCGATGAGCTTTATCAAATAGGAGGGCAAATGATGAGGTTGATAAGAAATCACCACTTTGCACCTGCCTGAAGGACATCATCTAAACTTCAACAACCTGTGGGACAAGACAGCGGGTGTCAGATGTTCCCAACACAAGGCACCAAGAGAGTGAACACCATGGCCAAGGGCAGGGGCAAAGTGACTTCAGCAGCAGCGTTCCTGTGCCCTGTCCAGTCGGGCTCTGCTCCACCGTCCTGCAGACCTCTTGTGCTGTCCCACCAAGGAGCACAAGGAAAAAGCTCCTTCCCTGGGAGTCTGTACGGGCAGCATCAAGAAAAGCTAATTGCTTCAACAGCCCCCAAACTATCGCAGGGAGAGAATCGAGTCAAGTCGCACTCCAGAAAAAGCTGTAATTAAAGGGAAAACAAGCAAAGACCTCGCTAGGAGGAAACGCAGGGAGGATGCGAGCAACAAGTGCCGCGCTCGGTGTGCGGGAGCTCCGCTCCGCGGGCCCACCCTCCCTCTCTGGCACATGTAACAGGAAACTTCCCGTCTCCGGGACAACCAATAACAAAAAACGGGCAGAGCCAACAGCGGGCTGTCAGCAGCCCGAGGAGAGCGGCGCCGGAGGAGCCGGGCGAGGGGAGATGACCTGAGCGCTTAACACGACCGAAACGAGAGGAGGAGAGCTGGTGCGCGGCTGGGGTAAGGCTGAGCTGTTGCCGCTGGTGTTCGGTCAACCCTAACACCTGAACTCGATAGCAGGGAGCTGGAGCTTTCGCAGCTGTCTGCGCGGGGAACTGCGGAGTCAGCCGCTGAGCAGAGCCTGCCCAGCCCGAAGCCGTGCGCAAGGGACGCTCGGGAGAAAAGCTTTAAGGAGAGCTGCAGGAACCTGCGCCCAGCGCGCCGGGGCCAAGGAGCCCGCCCGCGGCCCCAGAGCCGCAGCAGGGGCTCCGCTGTGATGCGGAAGGCGGCTGCTGTGTTCCTGTTGCTGTTAGGGAATGTGACTCAAGCTGATAAGCAGTCTAGCACAGGGCATTCTCCACTGCAGTGACTTGATATATTAATGTGGACAAGAGGGCTCCTCTGCTCCTCCATATGTGTATGGGAGTAACTGCTAGCACAGGCAAGCGCCTGTGAAACCAAGCGGGTGCAGCCACAGCGCTTCTCCAGAGCTCCTCCCAGCTGGAGCAAAGTTTAGCCCCCAGATCCTGAAGTAGAGAGCTTAGCAAATAAACCCTGGTCAGGGAACCAGCATATTGTGCAAGTTCAGCATCTGTGTCCAATAGACATAAATGGAAAGACTTTACACAGCTTCTAACGAGCATTTTAAAAAATCAGCCAGGGCACAGATGCTGGTTTACTATTCAAAACAGCCTGAGAAATCACTGTGCAAGAGAACACAGACACACACATACATGGTCTGTGATTTGCAGTAACAGGACTATCAGGTCTGAATGCAGTGAGAAGGGAAGGAAGAGGATGCCCCAATTACATGAAATTACAGAATCGTTTAGGTTGGAAAAGACCTTTCAAGATCATAAAGTCCAAGCCTTGGTTTTACATAAGAGAGGTGCCCCATAGCCTGAGCTCCCATCTCATTTTGCTTCTGGATACGGAAGGGGGACTAGAAGGGAAACTGACCACATATCCCCTGTCTCCTGCCACGTGAAGATGGTGACTCTGTTCGGAAGCTCCTGCAACTTCTAACACTGAGCCAGGACCACTTGCCTCTTCCAGAGGGTACATGGGCAGTCAGCTGTTTACCAACAGGCAGGGAGAGAGGCAGGAAGCCAATTCTCACCAAAAGGATCCTGATCTTACACATACCTGTAGGGAAGAATGTTAAGGATCAGGTATTTCCACTTCTCTCCATTCTCATTAATGCAGAACAGAGGGTGGCTCTTTCTGACCTACGTGTTGTACAAACAAACACCAGATTGGAACTGCCTGTGCAGGAGCAAAGACCCACACGCCTCCAGTCTAGCCCTATGTTCAAAGGGGATGAAGGCAAGTTTCTACCAGGCTAATGAAGTGTCACTGCAGGCTGGTTGTTGCAGTTAAGATGGCTTCTTAAATTATGGGAAAAACAAAGTTGGGGGTAAGGGGGAAGGCAGGAGGGAGGAGTGAGGGAAGAAAGGCTGGGGTGAGGTAGAAAAACACA